TTAATTGAGGGTGGCCTTGCTTCTGGGTCCTGGTGTAGCCCCAGGCGGTAGGAATAGAAGATGTAGGGGATGCAAGGCCTACTGATGAGGGAGTGAGGAGCACCCACTAAGGAAGGCTTAGAGCCAAGATAGAAGGCGTGGGGAGGTGGGAGGGCATCCCCTGAAGGGCTTTGGCAAGGACTTAGGTCACCAAAGCTAGTGGCCAAACAGGTGTCTGCTCTTGAGAGGCTGAAGCAAAAGGCAAACCCCAAGGCACTTGGGGAGCCAAGTCCTAAGACCGTCGGCCCTGCTAACTGCTCTTTGCCAGGAGGAGTGCTGGGTCCAGGTAGCCACAACGGGCTGGGTACTTTCTTTTCCTGGAAGGAATGTCATGCTTGTGACATTTAGCACATTTGTGCTATAAAAATGTGCTTGGAATATTTATGACAGCTTTCTAAGATTTACAGTTATGCTGAAGTACTGAATGGTATTTACAAGCTTTAAAAAAGTGGAATCATCTCAGTGGTTAAAAGCAAAAGCTTTTATTCTGGGAAATTCTGCATGTAATACTCATTGTTAGCTTGCACTGTGTGTGTGTGTGTGTGTGTGTGTGGCCCGTCTACTTGTGCAGTCGCCTCAGGATCCCAGCTCACTTACCCACGCGTGTCATGACCTTCCTGCAGCGCTTCCATTGGGACGACCTCCCAGGGGTGTAACTCATCTTATTGCTGAGTGGAATTTAGCTGTATGGCAAAAAGGGTTTAATAGTGCATTCCCAAGCCCATTGTTTGAGGCACTCAAATACCTACTATTCTAGTGTGGGAAACAAGACACTAAATCTGTGTTCACGATATCATACAAGACATTATTACGTTCACATTGTGAGCTAAGAATGCAACAGAAGGAATGTGCTGGAGTCTGTTCTGAGCATTTTCCCTATACTAACACATCAGCTCTTCACAATAACTGTATGTGTTAGACACAGTTATTCCTATTTTATATATGAGGAAGCTGAGGTTCAGAGAGGTTAACAAACTTGCTCATAGTCACACAGCTAGAAGTGGGTGGACTTGTAATGGGAGCTGAGGGAGCCTGGCTCTAGAGTTTATGCTCCTAGCCCCTCCACTGCAGCATCTCCTGGAAGAGTCATATAATCCAGAAATTGTCTTTCATGTGGGTTGTACCATTTTACACTCCCAGTTAAACCTACTTCTAGTTGTTTATCCAAGAGGAATGAAAACATACGTCCACAAAAAAATTGGTACAAGAACGACCATTGCAACCTCATTCTTGACAGTGAGAAATCTGGAAACAGCTCAGATATCCATTTAATAAGGAAATAGCTAATTAAAGGGTAGTGTAATCATATAATGGAATGCTCTGTGATTTTAGCAGTAAGGTGAAACTTACACAAAATGATAAGGATGGATCTCAAAAACCTTGTGCCAAGTCAAGGAGTCAGACAAAAGAGGACGCCCTGGGTAATGACAGAAACACGAAGTTTAAGAACAGACAGAATGAATCCAGGTAGATAAAGTCTGCGTAGTGATTACTTCTGGATGGGGTGGGGGTGGGGCAGAGACATGAGGCTGGGTCAGGGCAAATTCTCTGTTTTGGTTGGATAACAGTACACCTAATACCTGTGCACTTTCTTGTATGTGTTTATGCTTCACTTACACACACACACACACACACAAGTCACGTGTGAAAGCTCCCCTTCTTCCCTTGCTCAGCGGTAAACACTGTTTACAGCTGGTGTGGGGCTTCTCGGAGTTGCCATTTCCATGCATGCTGTGTCTGTACATCCAAACAGGCTTTTTTACATTTAACCTAGTAAGATTGGACTGTATGTGTTAATTCTGCTACCGATTTACTTTCCACTTAACAATACTTCCTGAAGGGTTTTCCGTGTCTGGCTTTGATTCTGCCCTCATCGACCTCAGGGGTCCATAGTCTGAACGCACTGGATTCCTCCAGCCAGTTTCTTTCTAATGGCTGATTAGGCAGTTCGCAAATTTCCACTATCCAGTTGCAGCGGGAAGCTTTGCACTTACATATCTGTGCCCAAGCACAAGCGTTTTGGTGGGCTCCTTTCCTCGGAAGGGGTTTGCTGGGGCAGCTGGTGTGGACAGTTTGGTGTGTACTGGCAAGAGGGATTCACAGAGGAGAGAGCTGGATTCCTGCATCCTCTCCATCAATGGATCTCATCAGTCTTTTCAAGTTTTTGAGCTCAGAAGGGTGAAAAATGGCATCTGGTTGCTGCTGAGACTAAGAAGAGAAGGTTTGGTTTTCTCCTTACAGTCCTGTAGGTATGCCCTTGGAGAAACACGGACCTCCTTCCCTCTACTCCCAGCTCTGATTCTAGAGGCTTCAAAGCCCCATGTTCTCTCACTAACAAGGGAGGGGACACTTTCTGATTTTAATTGGAATTTGACGGACTGTTGTGATGAAAATAACAGGATTCTGTCCTCCTTGACGTTCATTCTTAGAGTAGCCATTGTGGATCTTGATACCTGTTGGAATTTTTTTTGTTTAAACCTAATTCCTAACTGGTGGCTGGTTTTTGAAAAGTGACATGACTTGCTTTAGGAAACTGGTCAGTCTAAGTTGAATGTTGGAAACCAAGCCCATCACCATCATCTTCAGGTAGCCTGTGTCCATCCCCACCCATGATTACTTTTTAAAAAATGTGCATCTTGGATATATTTTGAACAGTGTTTCCCTGGAGAAAAAATTCACTCCAAAGAAACTTTTTTTTTCTCCTGCAAACACGGAGCAGGTTAGTCCCTAGCAGAGCCTGGGAACCCGAGTTGCCTAGTAGGTGGGAGCCTGTGAAGTGGGCCACAGCGACACTTTCTTCTTGGGCAGTGTCACCAGAGGGCTTTGCAGTCTGTACCCCTGGGGAGGTGTACCTTCCCGAGTTGGGAGACAGTTGAGGGCTCTACAGGGTGTAGCCTGATTTATACGTGGCTTTACTTGCACAGCTGGGAAGCTGCAGAGTCTGATAGGTCACTACGGCTTTTATTCTCAGCAATGCTGATGTTTTTACACAGTAGCAACTATCTCAATGATCATTCCTTCAATAAACGTCTGGTGAGCTGGGTGGGGGGCATTTTTCTCTTCTGCACTAGAATGGCGTACTTCTAAATGTCATGACTCCTCGACCTGCCTCCATCTCTCTCCTCTTACCCCATAAATTGCTGTTTCAATCTCACTAATAATACTGACTTCTCCATCCCATCCTATTACTGAGCACCGGCCGTATTTCCTAAAGAACTAGAAAATGTGCTTGTTCTCTTTTTTAGTATGAGCTTTGAAATGATGTATCATTGTTTAATTAGGAAGCAAGAGGTTGTTCTTAACATCTGTATCATAACCAAAAGATAATTTCCCAAAAGTAGATGAGAATGTAGACTTGAGTTGGTAGTTTCATTGTGTACATTACCATATTGGGTAAAAATAGGGAAATACCAGACAAAAATGATCTAATCTATATGTTAATGAACTAGATGCTTATTCTGTCTCACCTTGTATCCTCTGAATAAGTGTCCCCAGGTATATTTCAATCCCTGCTCCAGCTGGTGCTGTAGTCGTAAGAAGCCAGAGTGTTCAGAACACTTTTACTAGCAGGATCCCTAACAGACAATTATTCCGCTTCATAAACAGTTCTCTTGAATTTGCTTTTCCTGGAGGGGGAGAGAGCAGGGGAGTGTACAATTAATTCCGTGAAGACTAGACATAAAAGTTTCTTGGTGAGAGTGGCTTCCATTCGATTATTCAGGCATGTTTGCTGTTCATCTAGTTGTCATCTCATGTCATCGCATATTGAGAGCACGTGACTCTCTATAATCTCGTTCTGGGCGTTAGGCTCGGGAACAGTGGCTGACTTGGCAACACCGGAGAGTGCGGGCGACAGGATTGAAAAGGTCCCTGAGTGATTCTGCTCCTCGGCCCTCCTCTCTGGGGGTCACTGCCCCGGAGCCCTCTGTCCTGCCCTCCTGCCTGCTCACGTGTTGGACAAGATTTACATCAGCCGCCGTGAACATGGCTACCTAGACCTGGGGAATGTTTTCCTAAACGCGGGTGCTGGGGAAACAGCCCGCATCAGCCTGTAACCCCTCCCCTTGTTTGTTTTAACCCGTCCATTATCCTTAGTCTCTCACTCGATCACTTTATGATTTTGCACTTGGACATCACATAGATTCACTGAGAACTTTTGATTGCAAGCAGATCTCCTTTAACATGATGATTAGCCCAACTGTTACTCTGTTTGCGCCGAGTGATGACGCTGCCTTTGATTGGATCCTTGTGATTGTTACTTTAAAATCGAACTAATGGACTGTGATCTCAGAATAGGAACGTGATCCAAAGGACTAATAATGATGAGAACAGCAGCCTGTTAGGACAAAGTACATGCCCCATCACCATGCCGAGTCCCACCCACCTGCCTTCGCAGCCCCATCTTCTACCCGCTCCCCACCCCAGCCCGGGGTGACCTCACTGAGGCCTTCCCAGTTCCTGGAAGTGGCCCGGCTCTTTCCTGCCCTGGGAATCACACCTGCTCTTCTTTCTACCCGGGCTCTCCTCCACTGGTGTTTCTTGGCTGGCCCCTTCACACAGGCTTGTCTCCTCTGGGAGGTTCCCCAGCCACAGTGGCTGAGGTCGCCTCCTCCAGCCCCCTGCCTGCGCCCCTCATCTCTCTCTCACAGCATGCCATCTCTAACATCAAGAAGCCTGCCTGCTGCCTCCTTGGCACTTGCTGTCTCCCCCACTGGACTCCAAGCTCCCCGGGGACGGGGCAGACCACGCCTGTCTCATTCACCACTGTAGCCCCACTGCCATCCTGGCACCCGGCAGTAAGTGGGTGCTCACCACGCACCTGTGGTGGAACAAATGGAATATTCTCCAGTCCCAGCTTTTCCTGAACCCATAACAATATATTCAATACTTAGCACTTCTGTTGTGATAACACGTGCTCCTGCTGTGGTTGAATTTAATCAAGCTGTGCTGGCTTTTCTTAGGCATATGAAGGATCAGAATAAGAAGGTGGCCAACCTCAAGCACAATCAGCAGCTGGAAAAGAAGAAGAACGCCCAGTTACTGGAGGAAGTCCGCAGGCGGGAGGACAGCCTGGCTGAGAGCGCGCAGCACGGGCAGGTGGGCCACCCCCTCCGCTGGGGCCCTGCACAGGGGAGGTTGGCTCTCTCGGAATGTGCCCATTGCTGGGGGAAAGTAGGCACAGAAAGGGACGACTTGCCTTTGCTCTGAGTCCACAGTAACAGTATACCCCCAGGGAGCCCAGGAGGCCTTCCAAGTATACGGAGCATCGTTTCCAAAGTGGTACCCAAGGGGAGCCGACTGTGGCAGGATTACCATACTAATACCAATACTAATACTAACTCTGCAGACGCTCACACTTCCTGTCCCTGAGCCCGAAAGGTAAGTTAAGGGCTGCCTTTATACAAGTGGGCAAGAGGCTTAAAACATAGGAATGTCTTCCTTTCAGAATTACATCTAAGTTGTTTGGTGTTAATAGAAAGGAAATGTGTGCCTATCATCATAGAAGGCATTTGGGAAAGGATGCATTCAGCTCATCTCAGACAGTGTTCAAAACTCTCAGACGCTGAGACAGATCGTTATTCTGTCTTCTTTGTGGAATTTAGTTATCTCTGAATGGACAGCCCTATCTCAGAAACCAACAGACCAACTGAAAACACCAATTTCTCCTCATTAACCATCTCTATTTTTGGCAAAGCAACTCTCCCCATGTGCTCAATAAAACAGTCAAGCTAAAATAGGGCATTTGCTTTGAAGTTCCTTTCTTCATTCCAGTATGCCTTTAAACAGAACAGTTCAGTTCAACTTGGCTGGAGTTCACGTTAAATTTTGCTTATTAATTAGTGTCTTTCTCCAGTTATATATTATGTTTCCTCCTTAGAGATAGAAGAAGTTAGATAATTTCAATATGCACTCATAGTTCATCTTTTTAATTAACCAGAAGAGGAATAAATAATTTCCCAGAGTAGGAAGAATTCAAGGAAAGGTTTTGCACAGAGCATGGCGCGTGGGGGCTGCTTAGTCAACGTGAGTTTCTTTTTCTCTGGGTCCTGGAGGTACCTTAATGGTGTCAGACAAGCCCCTTTGCATTGATGCCTGATTTGGGTAGCACAGTGCTGGCATCAGGGCCCCTGTTCAGTTCTGGGACCCCCTTAGCATGGCCTGCTGCTTATTTGAATCCCCAGCTTCCTCAGTGTTCTTGGCGAATGATGTCTCAGGATTTTGGGTCTTAATTTCCCCATCTGTCATATGAGATGTTAGATGGGAGCCTACGGGCCGAGATAATGATAAGTAAAAGTTGCAGAGCATTTTATTGCCTTGCCAGGCGTATAACCTCATGTACTCCTCACCACAACATTGAGGGTTGTACATAACGGTAAACCTAGAATCTCAGAAAAGCTATGAAGTGACATCGTAGTAAGGGGTGCAGATACACCTGGCTCCAGTCCTTCCTGCCTTCAAGAAACGAATTCAGAGGACCAGTAGTGACAGTTGGTACCATTTTTTGAGCTTCTTAATGAGCTGGGTACTGTGCTATATACTTTATAGCCACTATTTAATTCTTAGGTCATCTGGGTCAGTTGGGACTCTTACTTGCAAATGGCAGGAACATTCTGAATCTGAACTAAATAAGAAGGGGATCTGTTGGCTCAATTAGCTGAAAAGAACCCTGCGTGGAGTCCAGACCTGACTGCATTCCCATACTCAGACAGTGGCATCAGGATCTGTCCCTCCCCTACGCACAGGTGGGCTTTGCTTTTTGTTCTCAGGAGGGCTGTCCACAGAGATGCCAGCAGTGGCCACCAGCAGGAGCAGTCACCCCAGTGGGAGGAGAAGGGCTCACTGTTACAGTTCCAGCAAAAGTGCTAAGGCTGATAGAATGTGGGAGTTGGCCAGGCCAGATTCAGGTTGTGCAAACACCAGGAGCCAGGGCGAAGGGGTTAGCGGCACCCAAATCCCACGGGCTGAGTGTGTGGACAAGGTGAGCTCCCACAAGAGAGTTCTCTTACCAGACGGGGTGCCGGGCAGGAAACCATCGAGATCCGCCTGCAGACATCATACGAGGTGAATTAACTGTTAATGCATTTGACATATGAGGAGTGGAAGATTCTGAGAGGTTAAATCACTTGCCCCCAAATTACTTAGCTGACCAGTTAGTGGCAGAGCCAGGACTCAAACCTGGATCTGACCATCTTTAGATGGTAAGCATTCTGGAGAATTAAGAAAAGAAGGCAGTAAAATGGAATGGCAGGGTCTTCATGGAAGAGGGTATTAGAGATGGATGAGTTTGGCAAGGGACGGAAGGACAAGGCACTCTGGCAGGAGAGACATCGTCAGCGATACTGAGGTTGTACAGTCAGGGCACAAAACATAACCGACCACATGATTGTGGTGGCAGTTCTCAGTGAGGCAGGTGCTGTCTTTCTTTGGCTGTGAAGCCAGAATGCCCACGCTTCAACATTTACTAGCTTAATGTCCTTGGGCAGGTTCCTGACTCCCTAAGCCTCAGTTTCCTCATATGTAAAACGGGAATAATAATTACATCTACTCCCGACTTGTTCTGGAGATTAGTTAATGTACATAAGGAATTTAGAATTGTATTTGACACAAGCTATGCTCAAAATAAGTGTTAGTGATGAACTGTTATCATAACAAGAAAAGGTGAAGGGAACATTTTAAAAACCATGCTGTCTCCTATGCACATGGGTATTTATACAGTTCTACTCTGACGTGCATGGAACATCAAAGTTTCTGTCTTTTCTGTATAGTAATTTCTTTCCTAAGGACACATCAGTTATGGAAATTAATGTCTTGTTTTGGTCCGTGAACTTTTGCATAGCAATATTTTCATAAGGAGCTGTGATAACTACTTCATAGACCTCTTCACAAAAGATAACATGGTCTGGAATTGCTTAGTTGCATTCCCGACCACCCCAAATAAAGAATAGCATTTGACGTGCAATAAAAAGTAATCACGATTCGTTTTGATGAAAATGTCTCTGGCTAAGGTTAATAGAGAATGAAACTCCCACTTTCCTGGATTGTGAAGCAGATGTAGTCAGATGCAGTAATTATTGCCTTCTGAGGGCACTTGGTTTTTTAATATTGCTGTTGTTTTAAGTACTTCCCATTTATAAGTTAGCCTGTTAAGCTCTTCAAGTGCCCGTCATCTGGGATCTGGGTTGGTTGGTTGGCTGGTTGATTGGCAGTTGTGGAATTGGTGCCTACTAAATTTGATTTATTCTACACTAGTATGTTATAATAGTCGGACACGCTCACTTCATGATTTCAACCAACCAGATAGGTATTCTATCCAGAAAAAAAAACCTCAGGTAGAGTCTTTCCTGCAACAATAATGGCCATCAGGTTACAAAGGGGAGATTGAAGAGATTCAACCACTTGGCTTGAAAATTGGAGGCCAAGTTGGATGTAGACAGAGTGGCCATGCTATGGATTGTTCCAAACAGGATGTAATAGCGGGGTAAGAACAGAGCCATTTCAGTCCGGCCTAGTTGTATACTCGTGCTAAGAAACATTTCACAAACCTGACCTTCTTTAGTTCTCAAATTTATAGTTTTATGGCAGGAAGTCCTAACTCAGATGCCTTTGGGGATCTAGGTTATTAACATAAATAAGAAACAGGTTTACAGGTAAGAAAAATGATGATGCCTGGCCTTTTCAGCCTGTTGTATATTTTTGGTACAGATGTATCAGTTAGCAGTTGCCATAACGATGCTGTGTAGCAAATCACCCCCAAATCCAATGACTTTAAAGCATCAGTAGTTATTCTCACAGATTTTTCAGGTTGACTGAGTGGCTCAGCTGCGTGAGCTTGGGTGGGCGTGTCTGTTTCTCACTGAGGACGGTTGGGCCCGCTCTGTTCCATGTGTATTTATTCTGAGACTCAGGCTAGGGGCATCAGCAACTTGGCAAAGTCCTCAGATGACAGTAGCATAGGCCCAGGAGAATAAGTAAAAGCATGCACGGCCTTATAAGACTTCTTCTTAAACTGTCACTGTGCTTTGCATACCACATCGTTGGCCAGAGTGAGGCCTATGGCTGAGCTAATAAGCAAGGATTGGGACATGCCTCTATCCTGGAGGAGGCCGGCGTCAGGGGCAGGCATACGGCAGCGTGGAGAACCAAGGCCAGTCATCCAGTCTGTCAAAAGAGAGGCTTGGAGAAATTTTTCTCTATTATAAGAAAAGCAAAGCCCAGTGTATGGGTTCCTAGGGGTGGTGAAGGCAGCAAGGAGCCCCGGAGCCCATGCCTTGCTGAAGGGAGTGGGCGCCACGAAGCTTTGCCTGACTGTTGTTATAAAGGAGGGCCTAGGGTTGAGGGACCTGCTGGTTGCCATAAAATGCAAATTATTCGCATAAAATCTATGAATTTTAGACAGTTGGTTCAGTTTTCCTAAACACCCTATGGGTCCAGTGAAGCATATGCAGGTGAACTGACCATTGGTTTGCACAGCCTCCCAACATGGACCCACCGGCTTCACATGGTGTAAATAAGGAGACTGAGGATGCACCCCAGCTAGCTCAGCTGGACCCGTCAGAGAGATGGCATTTTAGTATACTTGCCCTGAGTCCGTTTATTGTCTGAAAATACCTTGAATACCCTATTATTTCTCAGAGGAAACACCCATGGTCTATAGGAATAGAGGGTATCTTGATTGAACTGTTTAAGTCATTGTTTGGAGAATTGGCGAAGAGAGCAGGAAGGGAATTAAACAGCTTTGGAGTTGATTGTCCAGTGTCCAAAATATGGGCCCTTATGGTTATCAGCTCAGGACCTTGAGTGAGGCAGGGAGCCTCTCTGACCCTCACCTTTTTCATCTGCAAGTGGGGGTTACAATCTCTACCTCCATGGGTGGGTTGAGTAGGATGAGCTGGGCCTAGTACAGTGCCTGGTCTTTGTGGGGTTCAGTTACAGAGAGATTGGTAATGAGCTTTTGACCATAGAAGACAGTGACCCCTGGGAGTTACCATCCAACACGCCCTTGGCAAACTATTTTGCACTGCCGAGTAATGCAGCTATTGAGAACACACCAGTAAATGAAGGTTTCTAAGAAAGCTTTGAAACATGTTGGCAATAAG